TATTATAAATTGTATCATAAATTATTATAAATTTGTATGGGATAATTAGCCAAGAAATAAAGGGGTTATCTAAGTAGCATTGCTTTACAGTGCCTTGACAGAGACACCTGGCTTCATTAAAAGCTATTGTCAAAAATGTCTTGAGGAAAGTAAGAGTTATCCCAAATCTTATAAAATCTGAGCTCATGCTACACAAACCATAGAAGATTTCCTTGATCAGACTCTGCAGAAATCTGCCAGTAAGTAGTTACTCTGTATTATTCCAAATCCACCAAGTGGTATTCCAGACAGAGCTGTCACCTATTCAAGAAGACAAAGGTATTACCAGAGATGACAAAATCAGGGACAGCCAGCCCTGTTTACCGCTCTGCCATCTCTGCCTGCCTACAGTTTTTGAACCTCTCAGGGCTGTTAAAGACATACAGTTGGTTACAGGCATGTCCTTGGCAACTGGGTGATAAGAGTTCAAAATTATTAAAATTTACTTTGTGTCACCTCTCCTCACGTGGCAAGAAACAAGCTCTGCTGCAAAATTGGATTGCTTCTTTGCTCTTCCATGAATGAAAATCCTCTTATGTCTTGGTAGATTCCTAAAAAAATAAAATGCAGCATAATTAAAGGAATGTGTAGGGCAACTCTTCCACTACATCTTCTCTGGTTGCTTCTTTCTTTTTTTTCTCCTTTATCTATTTCCCTTTCTTAGGAGAACTTATTCTCCCCTCCACTTTTTTTTGTAGCCTATTCGAAAAAAATCAGGTGTTTTCTTAGAAACTCTAATCTAAAAACCTTTTAGCTGTTAAAGATTAACCAGTAAAGCATCTGTGAAAATGCAAGCACTTCCCTGACATTTGACTCCATCCTGCCACATTGAGAAACTCCTCTGTTGTAATGCTTCTATAGCTTGTTCACACTTACCAGATTGACCTGAAGGCACGAAAGCAGGCTAATGTGTGCCACATAATGTCGGGAGCTGCAAATGCCCCTAAACATGAACGGGTATAGGACCTGTCTTTCAGTGGCACAGTCTATTGGTGATTTTGATTGTAATTAAGTTTTCTACTGAGTTTTCTGAGAGTGGCTTGGGCACTTTCAGAGTGGAACAGAAAAGGGTTGCATGAGTGCCTGTGCACAGAGGGAAAGGGATGAATACAGCAAATCAGGGCCAGGTAGGGGACATAAAAAGAGCTTTTTAGTAGCTGGGAGTTGGTTGACCCTGCTCAATGTCAGGTGCTCACCAAAACTGCTCTGTCACTAGCCTCCACAACTGAACAGGGGAGAGAAAATAAAAGGCTCAGGGGAAGGGATCACTTACAGGTTACAAAACAGATAGAACTTGGAGATATTAATTAAATGAATTACTAAAAGCATCAAATCTCTATAATGAGAAAATTAAAACCACCTTCCCTTACTCCTCCCTTCTTCCCAGCTCTGTCTCCTTCCCCATAATAATGCAGGGAGACAGGGAATTGGAGTTATATTCAATTCATCACATGTTGTTCCTGTCATTGCTCAGAGAAAAGAGACCCTCTCCTGCTCCACCATGGGGTGTCCTCCATGGGAGATATTTCTCCATTATGAGTTTTTCCCACAGGCTACAGTTCTTCACAATCTGCTCCAGTGTGGGTCCCTTTCCATAGGGTGCAGTCCTTCAAGAAAAGCCTGCTGCAGTGTGGGTTCCCCACAGGGTCACAAGTCCTACCAGGAAACCTGCTCCAACATGGGCTTCTCTCTCCATGGGTGGGCAGGTCCCTGCCAGCACCTGCTCCAGCACAGGCCTCCCACAGGGTCACAGTCTCCTCTCAGGCATCCATCTGCTCCAGTGTGGGTGTCCTCAGGGGCTGCAGATGGATCTCTGCATCCCCAGGGACCTCCACAGGCTGCAGGGCGACAGCTGCCTCACCATGGTCTGCACCACAGGCTGCAGTGGAACCTCAGCTCTGGTGCCTGACGCAGCTCCTGCACTGACCTCGGCGTCTGTGGAGCTGTTCCTCTCTCCTATTCTCACTCTGCTCTTCTCTGAGTGCATTAACACCTGTGCAATAACTTCCTGTTCCTTCTTGATCTGGCCGTGGCCAGCAGTGGATCCATCCTGGAGCCAACTAGGATTGGATCTGTCTGACGTGGGAAGCTTCTTGCAGCTTCTCCTAGGAGCCACTCCTGCTACCAGAACCTGGACACACAAACGCTATACAATGATATATATGTACAGCTGGAAAAACAAAGCTTTGGAATTAGTATTTTAGATCACACAGTATTACTTTACACAAGAAAACTCAATGTCCTGGCATTTTTTAAAAGGTATCCACACATGTTGAATTTGGAGGCCAAATGTGGTTCAGATTTTCAAAACTTTACAACTTTTTCTGAATTTACAGGATTAACAGATATTTTGACATTTCCTGTATACAATTTGATGAAATGCAATTTCCAATGTCATTGAGAAGTATCCACTTGGCATTTTGCATAGTCCTCTTTTAGTGATATCAAAATATTTATTTATATGTCATAATAAAATAATGGTAGAAATAATTTCATAATTTAGATTTAATTATTTGTGTCTGGAAGCTTCTGAATCCCCTAGCAAAGACAAAGACCAGATATCTAAGAACAAGAAGTAACCCAACTGATAATCAAAAAGAGTGGGAGAAAGGAAGTGTCCTTGGTTTTTCTCATTTATGTATTTTTAACTTTTTTTTTTGTTGCTGTGGTTGTTGTAACATTAACTTCTATATGTAAGGATAACTTCCTTCAGTATTCTCTGCAATTTGAAGAATCTTAGACCAGAAGATTAGCGGTCATTTCCTGACAAAGGTCATTAATTCTTGTACGGCTTCATATATCAAAGTATTGCCACCAGAAAAAACCAAAAGTGCTTGAAGGTAACTTCTTCTCCTCATCTTAAGTATCTGACAAAGAGACAAGCTGCCTTAAGAATGGAAAGAGTGACTAGAAAGCAACAGTAAGCAATAGTCCTTATATTATATCTACCAAGAAGCATTTCAGCTGCATTCAAGAACGTAAAATGTCTCCGAAAATCTTGACCTAAGTATAGAATTTCCATTTTGTTCTCTTACTGCATCTCTCAATAGAAAAGGTGAGCACAACAAATGTAATAAATATAATACCTCAACTGTAGTAAGTCTCTCTATGAAACAAGAGTTGTCAGGAAGGGAAAAGATTAAAGAGGAGGCTTCAAAATATTCTTTAGAAATACCTGAGAAGCCATGTCAGAATCACAGAAATTACAAGTAGCATCAGTTATTAGTTTTCTGCTATCCAGTTTAAGAGAAATATTTAACTTCTAGAAGTACTGATTTTTTCCTATGCGCTGTCTAGAAATCATAATTTTTGAGTTTGTGGGTGTCACATGCACAGAGAAAATAGTACCTCAAGGTGTAGAACTGGTCTATGAATGTAGGACTTGCAAACTTCCCTGAAGATTTAGCCCCCAAAATGTCTCCATATGGAAAACATCAGACTGTGTATTATTCCATAACAGTCCCTAGACTGATGCAGAGATAACAATCAAGGAAGTGCAGCTTTCTTGGAAATGTTGAGATTTTAAAATAAGATTCAATTGCAAACAGTTGCATTATGCTCAGCCAGTCTCTGTTTGAAGTGTTCTTGTAGCCCATTGCTTTGCCTGTGGCTTACTCTAGAATGGGTGTAAAGGCATGTCAAAGTGGGTGGAGGTATGAAAACAAGCACCCTTAAAAGGACTTCTCCAGAAAAAATTCTTTGCTGTGAGGTTGCTGAGGTACTGGAACAGGTTGCCCAGAGGAGTTGTGGATGCCCCATCCCTGGTAGTGTCAAAGCCATGTTGGAGCTGAGAAACCTTGTCTAGTGGGAAGTGTCCTGCACATGACAGGGGGGTTGGAGCTAGATGATCTTTATGGTCTCTTCAAACCCAAGCCACTCTATGATCTTTTTTCTCAGCTCCCACCCACAGCTAAAAATGAAATAATTCTCTGCCATTTGATATGAAGCCACATTCCCACTTTCACATTTTACTGTAGCTCTATTTAACCATAGTAAAGAAGGAGTAGGAGGAGAGCAATAAATACAGCACTACACTGAAGCTGTAGTACTGTATTTATTTATTTAAGACATTATTTATTTATTTATTCATTTGTTTGTTTATTTATTTAAAGCATAATGGTGCCTTGTGCAGGTGCTTAACATGTCCCCAGAGGCAACTGTGAAAAATGTCAGAAGTCTGCCTGGGAAAAGGTTCTTAGCATCAATATAGGCCTGAGATATATCCTGTAACAAAAATATGCCCTCATGCATTTTAAGTCTATTTTAAGTCTCTTGCTGACAAGTAGAATTGCTTAGCTAGAATATAGTGGTCTTTTTTTATTTTTTTTTTTTTTTTTTTTGGAAGAAACCATTTGGTTTCTGAGACTGTATGTTTCACTAGTTTGGTTGGTTTTCTTTCTTCAGTACTGAATTTAGGCTCCAGAATGTCTTTTTCTGGGCATGTACCTATTGATATATTTAAGCCTAGATGCTCACTGTTTGAAACTCTGCTTCCCTCATTTAAACAGAAATGTTTCAAGTGCCATTTATGGTGAATGGAATGGAGTAAAGGAACTTCAAGCACTTTGTAATAAAAACAGACTACTTAGCCCATCTCTGCAAGCATGTCACAACTCTGCCTGTTAGTAGTGTCTCCTTAAAAGATATTCTCATGGGTGTCTTGAAGATCAAGGATAATAATGGCAATGTAAATGAATCTGTTGGCCTGCAAAGGGGTATACAGGGTTTTTTCTTGAGCTGATAATAAAGTCAGGCCAGTAAAATCCCCAAAGTGGATTGATGCACAGACAAATAACACAGGCAACAGGCACAGCACAGGCAACTGTTTGATAACCTTATGGGGCCAGCTCCTTTCTTGTTACCTCTCTTCCTGACATGGTGCTTATTAAGTACAGTTCAGCTATGTCAGGCTCGTCAGACTGAAAAGAGTTTACTTAGTCCTTGAGGAAGGCTTTAGTTCTGGGTTTATTGTTGCTGTGGTTACAGACACTTGAGCTGGGAAGAATAAAAGGAGTTCAGATATGTTTATATGAACTCTTATGACATGCATATGTAAATGCATATCCTTTAGAAGGAGTACTTTAATCACAATAGGAATGCATATGTTGATGTGCTGGCTGCATTGTGGTGTATGAGTTTTTTCTTATGAAAATATCAGATTTGATTGTAAAGGTTAAAGAAAAGCAGGATAAAACAACAAATGTAGGAATAAACGTTTCTGTAATATTGTCTTCTACCCCATGGAGTAAAAGATAATGAGGTCTATGTATGGCTGCATTAGCTGGTCAGGAGTGTGTAGCCAGGATCAGAATCTTTTGTTTGAAGAAGGCTAGAGATAGTTTTATGTAGCGTGAATGTTGAGTATATCTTAGATATTTGAGCATGTGGTTTTATTTTCCCTTTGTTTTGTTGAGGTCTTAAAACTCTCTGTTACCCTTTGGAGAATGTCCAAAAGGCACTAAAGAGAGAAGACACAAGAAAGGACATACTTGATGCCTACTTCTATGGCATGACCTCGGTGCCAAAGAGGAAGGAGAAGACCATGGGCAGAATAGAGCATGAAAGAGTTTTTGTTTGGGTAACAACAGTGTGAGGTGAAATCTTTTCTTCTCCAGCCAGAGTTTTGTTGTACGCATTTTCTGTATTTGCTGTTTTCCCTGCACAGCTTCAGCTCATTATTTGAAGGGACTGAAAACTGTAACTTGTCCTAGCACCAGATCTCTCTAAGATGCTTCAGGTAAGTCCTTATAAGATCTTACCAGGCAGTTTGTCTAACTGTTCTGATCAGTGTCTTCCTCAGTCCAAAGAGAAACATGAATGCCCTGCCCACTGAGGGTGGCATTTGGTGCTCTCTCACTCTCCAGACTAAAACAGATCTATGACTCCTCCAGCATTTTCTTCATGAGTGCTACTGCTACTTTGCAGCACACCTGAACGTGCACTGAAAGATGGTGACTTTTTAAATGTTTGTGACTCTTAATAAGTTGTGGATGTAACTGCAGGCTTGCACAATGCATACTTTCATAAAGGAAAGCCATTGGGTGTCCACATTTCTGCATCATAAGAAAAGATATCCATTATGCCTTTTGCAGCACTGCTAGAAAAACAAATACATGACTGGAGATTTCTTTTCTTGTTTGTTTGGGCGCATTTTTTGTTTTGTTTTAGTTGGAGCTGTTTTGTTGGCTTTACTTTGTTGGTTTTGCTTTGTTGTTTATTTTTTCCGCTTCATTTCAAAAGCCTATTTTAAAATGCCTGACCTGTGCTAGTCTTACACATATGGGTCACCACAGAGGTGTCATTAACTATGAAATATAACAAGATTCCTGTTTGATTGATTAGTAATTATCTTATGCAATTTCTTTTTCAGGAATTGTCCGACAGGCATGTTGCCAATGAAGATGCTCAGTTTCAATACCAACCTGTTTGTGTGTGGAATGCAGCTATGACAAGACAGTACAAACTACATGCCACACAATTAAAGATCTGTTGCAATTCCCAGCCTATTCTTCTTAGCATTTTCTCCAAAAATTAAACTAAATTAGCAAGTTCTTACATTAGATAAACTAGTTGCTTCTAAATTTATTGGAACCATAATTTAGAAAGTGTCAGTACTTATTTTAATCCACTTGAAACATATCTTGCCTATGGCTCCTTTCCTGAGTGTCTCAAACAGCATGTCTGTCTCACAACTATTTTCCCATGGTTTACCTTGTATTGACCATTAGTAGCTATATCTTCATTTTCAAAGTAACTTCTTAATCTCTGGCCTGTTTACCAAGCACAGGTGACATAACTGTCACGGGAAGAATTGGAACAAAAACAACCTTATTTGTTTAAAATCAGACAGGGACTCCAAGCAGGCACAATTGTAATATATTCCCAGAAATGTGTTGAGTACCTCTTTCCCTTGATTATACATTTCTTTACTTTTATTTTCCTGCTTTTCTTCCCAATCCCATCTGCAGGATGTTTTTATAAAAATAAATAAATGAAAATCCATTAAAGGATTATGTTTCAACAATGTATTGTTAGGTGCATGTAATATGATCAAGAATCAATTTTAGGAAGTAACTTCTTGGTATAATTTTACTGTACTTTTGTATTCCTTGAGTAATGTCCTATCTTTCAAGGCGTATTTTTATATATTGTTATATTATTATTATTAATTATATTATTATATATTATATAATATATATTATATATTATTTTATATATTATACATTATTATATATTAATATATTTGTTATAATTAATCATAAAGTTCCCTTTTCTAGTCTTTCATTTTTCTTCATATCTCAGAGATTGGCAGAGATAGGGTAGAAAAACTGTTTCACTGTTAGGAAAGTTATGCAATTTAGTGGCTGTTAATGGGAGTCTTTGTGGATGCTGGCATAAGAAATACGAGAAAGGACAGGAGAAAAAAGTAGATGGTTGGTTTTGGAACAGGGAGAGGTGAGCTTCCTCAGAAATTTTTTAGATTTCTCTTTCTCACTGTGACACTCAGTTGCCTTACAAATTATGTCCTGAGCCTTGCTGGTCTGAGTATGAAACAAACAAAATAACTCAAGGGCTTTGATTTGAAGGTCAGTTCTCATTCCTTCACCCAGGTGTACCATCTTTGTAATGCATTCTCACAGCAAAATGTCTGCAGTCTGGCAAAATTAGTTGAAGCTTTTGCATGGACACTGAACATAGCAGAGAGAGAACTGTTTAACAGCATCCCTGTCCCTCCAGTCAAGGAACATGGCAGCCTATGAGCTTCTAGAGTATGATGATTCAATAGTGAAGAACTAGCATATTTATACATCTGTATCACCACATGCTGCTTGGATAAAGAGACTGTCTCCTTCAGGTTCAAAGTGCAAACCAGCAGATACTCAAGCCTACACCAAAGATCTTATTTGTTCTTACCCTTGCAGATATTGTGCAGCACAGGGCATGTGGAGATGATGCAGACAGCCAAATCTTCATTAGCACCAAAGAGTTTCCATAGGCTATATTGGTTTATCTTTTCTTGCTTCATTAACTTGCTTGTTTCTGAAATCACTTTTAATCAGGTAAAATCCTTGTTGATTATTTTTTGTTTTGTTTTGTTTTGTTTTGTTTTGTTTTGTTTTGTTTGTTTGTTTGTTTTTTTTTAATGATACATGTTAGAATCCTTTTGGGGTCATGGAGTTCCTACTTTCTAAAAAGAGCCTGTGTTTCCAGACATGTTTATGGACCCAGCTGATGGAAAAGGCTGTGAATACAGCATGCTGTTCTGGCCCAGGAGCAGCAAAAAGTTCTATAGCCCTCTGGAATCCTAAAAAGACTGCTGCTTCCTTTAGCTTTGTCTGTGTGAGTTCCTGCAGGATAATACTTTAGCTTCCATCACATCAGTAACACATACAGGTAGAATTTGACTTATGAAAGATTTAAAATGGTAGATAGCATCCAAATTAGAATTCTCAGCTGTGAAAAGCTGTAAGATGTAGGCTCCAGAACAGCCACTGTCCAGCTCTTCTTTCCATATACATTTTTCAGACATGGGGCAGATTAAAATGAAAAATCTGCCGATGCAAGGTTATGATTTTTGGAAACAGGCTGGCCAGGTGTACTTTGGTTTTCTCACTATGTTTACTCAGACTTCTTTGGCTGACTGCAATGCACTTTTTGTGGGTGATTTAATTTTCCTTCCTGGTATAGACTGAGTTGCAATCAGCCTGCATTCAAGCAATACACTCTGAGGAGATGAGTCACTACCAGTTTTCATTTGAGAAGCTCAGTGTGTATATAGTAAAGTGCATTATATATGTGTGTATGCATTATAAGTTTATTTGTATACACAGTATATTCTACATGAGTTTACTATCTACACTATGCAGAAAGTTTAAATTATACATATATAGTAGAATATTTATATTACATATGTATATTATATACATATATGTATAGAAATATAATAATGTAATGTAATGTAATAGAATATAATGTAATTATAATATAATAGAATATAATGTAATTATAATATAATATAATATAATATAATATAATATAATATAATATAATACTACATACATATACATATATACAGTTTATTTGTATATACAGTATATTCTACATGTGTTTACTATATTCATTACGCAGAAAGCTTAAATTATACATATATAGTAGGATATATATATTACATATGTATATTATATATGTATGACACCATGACACTGCTTCTGTTAAACATCCCCTTTAATGACATTTTTCATATACTTAAGATTATTTCTTATACTTGTGCAATAGTCATTATTCACCCTACCTTTTTGGCCCCTTCTTCCTTAACTCCTGCCCAGCATCAGTCTCAGAGGCAGAACAACTTTCTATGGACCTAATGGTTTTAATATTGTTACTTGAGATAGTTGGGTTTACATGGAAAGTTCTCTTCTGAATAGCTTGGTCATATTTGCAAGAGTTCATCAAATTCACTATTGTTCAAATGCCAAAACTGGAACCCAACATGTAGGTCAACACACAGCTATTGAAACAGGCTGACTTGACAATAGCTGAATACACTGTGGCGTGTTTGTGGTGTCAAGAAGACACGCAAACCCAGCAGTGACTACTCACTTCTGTACACTCACCTGCAGTCTGTGTCCCCAGACAGAGGGGGAAACCTCCCTCAGCTCATCCAGAGAGATATGAGCAGGACTGAGTCATGTTCTCACCTTGTCCCATAGAAAAGTTGATGATACATGTCTGAGGAAGAATTCCTTTGTGGTGTGGAAACTGCTTCTGGAAAGTCACTGCCAGCATTACACCAGGGGTGGTCCATAGTGTTCTGGAAGAGACCTAGGCAGAAAAATTACCAGAAAGCCTCAGCTAAATGAAAGGCACTGTTCTGGCTCAGAGGATTAGAAGAAGCAGTATTTTCTGCAACAATCAGTAAGAAAACTCTGAAAGTAACTCCAATGGGAAAATGAGAAGGGGCATAGAGGGCCCTTCTTTTGTCAATCCAGCTGCCCAACACACTGCTGTGACAGCTGTGGGAGACTGGCCACTTGCAGCAGAACCTTCCTCGGACAGGTTTGGCAGTTGTGACTCAGAACACTAGTGCAAGTACAGGCAAACCAGGTGTTCTCCAGAAGAGTAAAGCTTGCAAACAAAATCTGGGTTACCCTGGCATCTCTTCAAGATTGGTGTGCAGATACCTGTTGGTGTTCTTGGTATGACTACCTTGTACTGTGTCAGTAAAAGCACCTAACACTGTTGCTGGACTAGAGAGTGGTTCATGTGATTCTCCTGCTAATGAGCTGTTCAAGGCTTCAAATACAGCTCTAGAGAGCACTTATCTCTAAAAGACTCTTAAACATATTGGCTACTTGCATTCTAGTAAGGTAAAAAAAATAAGGTAAAGCACTGACTATCACTATTCACGGCAAGCACAGTTCTTCATCCATTATACACTAGTAGTTAAGTCTTTAGCATCTTGTAAAGTCCATTGGGCCATCTCCGGTGTCTATGTTTATCTCCTGTCCCATTCTTGGATGGGGCATGTAGAGAACTTAAAAGATTACTTAAATTTACAGTAAATATCATGTGCAGCTCTAACATGCTAAGAACTGAGAAAACCTGTCAGCTGCTATCTCCCTCTTTTACAATGTAAATGTCTCTGACTTGCTCTGTGTCTCAGTTTTCTTTGTGTAGGGCACAGCTGTCTCCTTTATGCTGCCTTTTTCCTGATGCATGTTAATGATTTACCTGCCCTGAACAGGTCAACCATTATTTCTGTCCTGTCACAGCCCTCACAGACTTGCCTACTGGTTCAAATTGCCTTTGCTCCTAAAATGCATGGAAAGCAAGGACTTAATGTATTGGCTCCAAAGATGGAAAAGCTGTTGATGCTAACACTGTTGGCATCAAATGTGTTAGAGCTGTTAGTTAGCATCTGGTTATTGTTTTTTGGCTTGGTTTTCTTTTTTTCATGAATGACAACAGCTGCATATTTTTGAAACCTATAGGTAACCTACTTCTTATTGCTATGCACCCCAGTGTCACATTTTTTTTCAGCCAAGGCAGCCCTATCAGGCATGGCAAAACAGATTTTGCAACACGGGAGGAATATTAGTTGCTGGCTAAACCACATCCCTCTGGAAAAAGTCAAGACTTACTACCCTTGAGGCTCCCAAGGACTCTGCCTGGGCAGGGATATGGTGGTTCCTAAGGTATATTTGTGGTTTTTCTTGCCCAATCTTTTAGGGAAAAAAAAAAAAAAAAAAAAAAAAAAAAAAAAAAAAAAA